TAGAAAAATGTCCGTACTTCTGTCCGTCTACCTGCCTGTCCGTCCGTCGGTCTGGTGTATGTGAACAACACTAACGTCCATACCATATGTAGATTTTTTCCAAGTTCAAGAAACCCCTGACCATTTGACCTGAGTCGAAACTCTGCGATTTTGAAAATCATTCATTAGTTGTTGGGGCTACTTTACATAAAGCACCTGGGACATTTTCATTTTTTTTTCTTCAAAAATTGCTCAAATTTTTTTGTTACATTTTTTGTAAGAATAGAGTAAAATACGATAAATAAATAAAGATATTGTCTGGTATCAATATTTTAATTCAGCTTATGATTATTTCGATCCCGTAGCGATCATCCTCAGAGCTTGCAGCTTCTGGGCCGAAAACAAAGTTCTGCAGAAAATTTCTTGTGCATTGTTGAAAATGTGTTGTCTATAATTTGTTCTTTTATTGAGGTCATGCACATTTTTTGAAAATTTTAGTAGTGTTTGCGCCATATTGAGTGCAATTTTTGCAATTTTTAAAAAAATTGCAAAAGTAAGATTTTCTCAAATATCGCCCCATTTTTTTCTTTAAACATCTGGTATAGATTGTGCTAAATGCACTCAATGAATTGACATAAACGTCATATTGCTCAATTCATTTGTTTATTGAAAAATTACAAAAATGTAATTTTTTACTTGTCTCTCACGTCGTTAATTTTTACATTAGCGGCGATTTGTTCACATCAATATATTTATGAGTACATGTGCTTTATATATTGTCATATAAATATTCTTGAAATTCAACCGTTTCTGTCAAAACTGGCTCAAAATTTCGCAATTTCAAAAACCTTAAATGCCATTTTCTCAAAAACGGCTCTAAATCTTTTCTTTAAACGTTAGAAAGAGTAAGGATAGTGCAATTGCACTCTTTAGTATGATGTAAAGTTCATTGCGGAGTATCTTTTCTTTTTTCAAAAAATACTCAAAAGTAATTTTTTGAAATATCTCTCACGCCGGGAATATGCACATTTCCAACAATTTGTAAACTCTATGGTATATGTGAGTTAGAGTGCTTCAAATGAAGTTTTTCGTAAACTCAAAAATTGTCTGTGAAAAAGTCACAAATTTCAAATTTGCTGCACTCTTACGCGCCATTTTCTTAAAAATGGCTCCAAATGTTTCGAAGAAAATTGTCATTTAGAACTAGTTTTTATTGTTCTTTAATATCCTTAAAATAATATTTCCGTTCTATTATTAGGAAACCGAAAAATTAATAAAGTTTCAAAAATTGTCGTTTGGCTGGCAATAGAGATCAGAGTACGTGGCAAGTTCAAATAGCTAGCCGGAACCAAAGGGAAAAGAAAACTAATACGGGTATTCTGACGCACCACTTGTTTTACTTTTATGGAATATATTAAGGAAATAAAGTTTTGTAAAAAAAACACATTTTTTTTCACATTTCCTTAGATTTCGGTCCTCTACTAGTAGAATTAGACTATCACTACGTCATAGAACAGTAAAATATGCTGTAGTATGTAAATTTTCATTAACCAATTGGGAGTAGTTTTTGAGAAAATGTTGACAATTTTTGAAAATCACAAGCTCATTTTCATGGAAAACGATAGTTTTCGAAAAACTTCTTATGAAGTACAAGTAATTGGAAGTACTTGTACTTAAAAATGCAATAATATAGTATAAACTAATGGTGAAACACACATGACACGGACTTTCTCGCATTAGTTTTCTATTTTTACTTTCTCGTGCTTAAGGAGGAACTTCTAAAGAGGAAAGTGATGTAATGCTGTGCCTATTTTAAATACGTTCACAGGTTTTAAACATTTGCCAACTAGGAGATCATTGTCTGATAATTTGTTTAAAAAATCAGTGGTTTTAAAATGATACTCCATTTCTTTGTGCTACACATATTGTTGGTTTCATTCTGTCAAGCCATAGTTAGCCCGAAGACAGAGGGTCAGGCCGGAAACGCGCAAGTTGGCAACACCGTGCGCGTAGCACGCTTCATTGAAAACGACAGATATGTTCTTATCAAGAGTTCTTACACTTCTCTCGGTGCACTGGATGCAATGGAAAGGTCCTCATTCCTGGAAAATCTTACTTTTGGTATGAACGTAAATTTGATGAATATAATAAATATATAAAATTTGTTATATAGAAATTATAAAGTAGAAAAAGTTTTGAATTTTTACAACTTTCGAAAAATCAGGGTTTTCAACGAAAATGAGACCTGCACCATTCTCATAAATGTCCTTCATACTATCAAACAACAACATTTAATAAAAACAACTTAACGGACGTGAATTCAGGTGCTGTCTACAAGAGAACTCTAGTGGCCGGCTGCTCTGATATGTAGTTTTCTGTGGTTTCTCCGATACCCTGTAAAACCGGGCCACAGACCGTGCGTGATCTTTCCTTCCTCTTGACCTATCCTCAGTCCTTACTTACACACACACACACACACACACACACACACTTACATGCTCTACACTATCACACATGCCGTGAAACCAGTCGGGAGTTTAGAACTTGTCCCGGCTGGGGCGGTGCTCCACTGGTGGGAGATACCTGGTTGAGGAAAAACCCACCAGCCGCCCGGTAGGTCAGCACTGGACCAGCAATCAATTATTAATTGCACATTCACACTAATTAGTTGACGTGTTATTCGATATTGAAAAACATTTCGTTTCCTGAGGAACACCCAATTTCATTCAAAAATGTTTTCCAGATCTTTGCACTGTACTTGTATTGCTTTGCTGTTTTCTTCGATGCGTTCTCCGACAACTTCACTTCACTGAAACGAAAGAATAGAATATGATTGATATTTAAATTTGGTACAGTACTTAAATACATATTTAATATGTATTACCCAATAAAAATATTACCTAATAATACGTAATACCTAATTGTACTTCATATTTTTGGTTTTGAAGATACCTCTGATCCATAACTTAAAGCCATGAAGACTAAAACGTAATATTGTCAAATGTATTCATTTCTGGAAAGTATAGTCTATTACAATGCCAGGACGCTGCTGGTAGGTCCTGGCACATTCGCGGGCTGTCGCGCCAAGTACACACAATCTATTAGAATAAAACGTGAATTTATAAATGAAATTCACGTCACATTGTTGTCTCAATCGTAACTTTTTAATTATGTGTTTAAATTCACATCCCGCGATATCTCTCATCATATTCCCAAAATTTCTTTTCTTCTAGCTCAAAATCGCTCACTCACTTTTGTACATAAACAGTTCTTACACGTATCTTATAACGAAGAATTACGTGGGTTTTGCCATGCTTCTTCGAACATTCCATGCGAACAGCCATGTAGAATTTCTCAGGCTCATCAACATGCGCAAAGAGACTCCGCGACGTTCTTATGCAACGTTGGGTTGGATTGATCTTCCTGAAACGACCATGGTTGTCCACGCAATTGACGTCAAGGTTGTCCAGAATTTTTCTTGTGTATGTGATATGTATACCCTTAACTACTAATTAAAATTTTTTTTTTAACACGCCGTGCGCGAAACGCACTTTTTGTGCTTGTTTTCCGTGTACGAAACAGCTAATTTTTTCACAGAGTGCGAAACAACGCGAAGCGTTTGCGAAACATCTGTAACGATTCGCAATTGTCTTTCATCTTGACAACGACTTGTTTATTATTTACTGGACATACAAACAATAGTGTTACTGACTGGAAATTATTTGCTTTTGTACGAATAAGGTATTTCTAGTTACTTGACACTAAATTTATATTCCTTTACTTGACGCATTGCGTTTCGCGCATGGCGTGTTCAAAAATAGAATACGCAACACGGGCGCGAGGTGATTTCCGCACTTGTCTCTTGTTTGGCGCCCTTGTTACGTAAACTACTATTCAACTATTACCTCTTCTTAACTGACAATTTTCGAAATATTTAGTTCAGCAGGTTCCTTTGTTAAAATTGAGATACTCGGGATGTGCATATTACTATTATAAAAATAAATTTAGAAGAAAATTTGGCAAAAATAATGAGTTATGTTGATTATTAGAAAATTAGACTTAACTAGTAGTGTTCCAAGAGCACATACCATCTCGCATTATTTGCAACGGCCCCGCAATATTACAACACTACAACAAACTGTAACCTGAGAATTGTTTTAATCATATTAATTTTAAAGCAGAAATGATGGGAGAACTACTCGTTTTTTAAATAATTGTGAATGATCTTTTAGTTAAAGGGCTGATTTTTAGAACAGATGTTGTTTAATGCAAAAATTACTATCTTCAACTTTGTAATTTTGAAGAGTTACTTTTTTCAATTTTCGAAAATACGGAGAGTTTGCAGCAAATGGGACCAGCATAATATTTTTTAACGTCCTTTGATACATTCGAGAAGATAATTTACCTCTTTAGATGCAGTAAGTCACTCAAAAAAGGTTGTTAGTAGCGTAAGGATACAAACAAAAAAACAAGTTTTTATAATAATTTTATTAGAAATTTCTGGATGGTTACGCTAATCAATGGTGATTAATTCCCCACCAGGAGACCGAGACGCCTCGCTTGATGGACGAGAGGGCGTCTAACCGTGAATGACGGACAGTGGAAAGATAGACAGACAGACGGACAGACGGGCAGCCGAGCGGACGAAGATAACTCGATTTCTGTATAAGGTTTAAAGGCAGAGTTCATTGCCTAACAATAAATATGTTCTATACACTATTCAGCTAATAGTGAAAAGACATCAGAATGTAATCAAGTATAACATGTATAATAAGTGAGAAGAATTTACCATCGGGCTTAATGGCCAAAGCAAATTAAAAAAATTATCTGTAACATATCCTCAGAATTGCAACACAAGTAAAAAAAATTCACTGTACTTCAATTTGAAGCTGTCGTGTAATGTACGGTCTCCTTTGGCGTCGGTTGAAGCCTTCCATTTGTTATGCAAAGAGGTTGCAGCGAAACAAAACCCGTTGGCACATTGCTAGCCTTTCGCCATCGCAGGGTCAAGGCGCCAAACGTCAGCTGAATGCGAAGTTGGGAGATAACGCGCTCCTCAAACTGAAGCGTAAGCGTTTGTGAGTTCTGTCGGCATTTTTGTCTTAATTTGGCTGCACTGATTACTTATCTGCGCATATTTCGTTGCTTCCTGCAGTAATATTTCTGTCTTAGTGAATCACTGTGGTCATGATTTATTATTCTTTGAGAATCTGATTGGAAAAGAAACAATACTTTTCAAGTATTTTTTTCCTATTGGCCTTCGACGTTGGAATGGTGAAACGTAACCCTCAGGTAAGAATAACCTTCCTGAAGTTGTGATTAATCGTACACTTTCTTCTTAAATAAATTAGCATGCTCTAACCAAACGCTGCTTCGAAGTTTCAATCTGTGTGTCTATAACTTCTTTTGTGTTCCAGGTGATACTTAAGAAACGGATGTGTTTTGTTGTGTCCATCTAGCTCTTATCCATCGTTTACTCTCATGGTACGTTCTAGGAAGCGCCATCCATAATGCAACAGGTCAGCTGAAATCTATTATATTCGAAGTCATACGAGTCATCGTAGTGTACCTCAAATACGATTTGAGGGTTGGCAAAACTGCAATGCGGAATTCAAGAAAATGATTCAGCAATTTGGAACACAAGCTGTCAATGAGGGATGATCCACAAAATGAAGGTAAAAATCTGACTTAGGTCTATCAATAAAGTTCAAATACCATTTCCAAACCTGATTTTTTGTGGCGCAGGAAAATCTCTAGAAATGAGTCTGTATACATTAAGTGATCCCAAACGATGTTTGTGAAGTAAAGTTTTTGATGAGGCATACTTTTCGAGAAAAGCTTCATACTCATTTGTGTACATTGGGTCCAAGTAGTAAGAATCAAAATACATAAGAAAACTGCTACTAGTACATCACAAAATACTTTTCAAAAGGCTTTATCACTTTTATTTCATACACACGAATCATGGCTAAGAAATGTCCATTAAAACTGCATACAAAGTGAAACGGAAGAAACCTTTTAAAACAGTGACATTTTATTTGGAAAATTAAGCAATAATTTCCAAGAGGGTATATACCAACATTATATGTCGAAGTTAAAATGATTTTAAGAATTATAACAAAAATTTTACAAGAGAGTACTCTACTGAAAAAAAAACAAAAAAAAAACAGGTGAGCGTGCTAGCTTTCCACTACGCGGCCCCAGATTCGATTCCCGGTGCGGCAAGATTATAGTGTGCGTTTTCCTTGCAATCTTCCAGTATATGTTGCTGTGTGACGGTGAGAAAATTCACTTCTCAGGTGAGAAGACCGGAATACGGTGTGGGGATGTGTACGTGATAACCACACGTACCCCCTTAACCCAGGGTCGCGAGGCAGGGACGTGGCCGGTAGGTCTGAGCCCGTTCACGGGCTGTCGCGCCATGTACATACTTACATACATACATACACACACATACATATATACATACATACATTATTGCGAAAAGAGACAGTAAAGAGAACTTGTACTTCTTCTAAAAGGGAGCTTGTACTCTTAAAAGCGTAGGTCTGATAATTCCAACTTCGCAGCCGCATTCAGGTAAACCGCACGTACTGAGTCACGAGGACTTCCCGCGTGATTTACTTCCTTTGTATACGCGGGACTCTTATCGTTGCGGAAGGGCGTGGCGACGCTCTTTCCGTTTCCCGCATATCCTCCGAAAAAAGGATGGAGGAGGGACTTTTCGAGGATGTGGATCTGATTACTTCATTATATTCTTATTAGAAACCGTACTTTCCTGCGTAACCGCCATTACTTTCCTGGTGGCTCAGTAAGAGCATTGTCTTGCTGTTGCAGCGTTGCTGACCGGGAGGTCCTAGCAATTTCGCCACTGCCTAAATACCTAGTCGAATTCAAGATCGCTCCGAAGATCATTCTAGCGGCCGGCTGCTCAGATCGGAAGTTTCTCTATGCGGTTTCTCTTTTCAATACCAAGTGAATGCCGGAGCAGTCTCCTTACAAACGGGCCACGGACCGCGCACGATATTTCCTCGCTCGTTCTCGTCCGCTCCTCTCTAGTAGCACACATGCAGAACTTACACCTACATGCGTTAGGCAACTACGACACATGTCGGGAGATCAGGCGTGAGATCAGAGCTTGTCTCGGCTGGGGTGGTGCCCCTCTGCGAAAGATGCTGGAAGGTTAGAAAACAACAATCCGACATGTAGGTTGGCGCCGGGTTTCACGTTCCAGAACGCGAGAATACCGTCTCTCCAGGGTATAACATGCACTACTTTTACGTGAATAGTGACCATAGCAGTTGACGCGACTTATTAGAAGATATTTATAAAATCTCTTATTTATATAATAATAAAATTCTAAAGAATAGTTATAATAATAAAATCCAAGGGTTTGAAAATCGAGATCTGTCAAATGAGGAGCGCAAAAACCAAGGTCGTACCAATAATTATCGAAGCTCTGGGATTTGTTCTGCAAAATGTAAGAACTTGTCCAAACTCCCAGGTCATTCGAAAGACCGGGAAGTACAGGGCATCGGCATCTCTTTGTTGGGATTAGTTTATACTTAGCGCTATTATTGCTACTAAGTATTACAGAAGCACCCACAGTCGCTAGATATGTACCTTGGGAAGTTGGTTGCATTCTGGGCCAGATTTTATACTTGAACGGTACCTAACATCTTCAGTTGTGAATTTAGGGGTTAATAATAATAATAATAATAATAATAATAATTATTATTATTATTATTATTATTATTATTATTATAGGGTAATTCTGTAAGTTTTGACAACTATATTATATCAGCCAATCGAACCGAAGGGATAGAAATTCGCTAGGAGTATGCGATTGTACATTTATGGAATGTCGTTTCCCCAAATTCTAAGCAATTTAACTTTTTCATGCTAAACTCTCACAAACACACAGAGCAATGATTCGGCGGTGACATATCGTACGGTGTCCGAGTTGACGGATATATTGAACAACCATTTCTGTTATTTAAAAATATACAGTCAAACCTCGTTTTTATATGCTACTATTACCTTCGATTCTGTTTTCCATCACAGTTTTTGTCGACATTTTACCTCCATTTCCGTACAATTGAAAATAGTCCGCACCAACTTCGTCCGCCTATTCACACCCACCGTCACTTAATTCTCGGAACCGAGTGCCTTCATAAAACATTCGTTCGTTCTCATTCATCGGTGACTCAGTCCTTTGTTTATCGTGGAGTGGGCATTACCAGAACCTCTTCCTTGAAAAAGCGGACTTGGCATTACCCCGTCTATTCAAGTGCAACTCTTCGTCTTCGTAATAATCCGTTGCTTTTGAGGCTTCGTTTATTGTGTGCGGCTGAAATGTAAGGCAAAGAAAGGGGTTAAGAGACCAAAGAAAGTTTTTGAGTGTCAGCACTGATGGAGAAGGCGAGAAATACATTGAAATCATGAAATCGTAGAAAAGTATGGAAAGGTGGCACATAACATACTTTCTCACACCCTCATCACTTAAGTTGTATTTCATGGATATTTTAGAGTACGTGCCAAACGCGTCACTTTAGCGACTGAAAGCCACTTTTCTAGCTTCAATTTTAGAGCCTAGGCTGTGAAAATAAGCTTGTAATGCCAAGATGATGTAGATTCATTAAATGAGATCAAGTACTTAATTGAAAGGTTTTGTGTAACAATACTATTCAAAATCAATGAAATAACCAACAACAACAGAATTGACTTTTGAACATTAACATTGAAAACACAACTTGTAACATTATCAAACGAAACTCCTGGAACTGAAACTGAGTTTGTTACTCCTACTGCAACTGAGCCTCCAGCGGATGTTTTGACCGCTTCACCTTCTGCTTCTTTTGCCTTGGCACTAGTGTTACTTCATTATGAAGAATTATGCAGGAATTTTTTTTATTCCATATAGAAAAAGCAGCTCAGCTCCGCTCCGCCTCGTCTCCCTATCTATCTCGCTTGGCAAAGTACCACTTCAGAGCCTTTGTACATAAAGTACTTTGTTCTTATATCAGTGTATCTGGAACAGATTAACTGGATTTACTTTATTTCTTCTCAGAATTATGTCTTCGGTTTTCTTACATTCGTTTTCGTCAGACTTTTATAAACACATTAATCATGAAAACATAGACTCTACGACATCACACAACCCTTATTGAATGATCGATCCTCAGTGATGATGTTGACGACAATAATAATAATAATAATAATAATAATAATAATAATAATAATAATAATAATAATAATAATAATAGTAATAATAGGATGTTTACGAAAGTAATTTTAATATCTGGTGATTTTTTTGAAGAGTTGAGGACTTATATGAGAGAAGAACAAGAAAATTAACGCACAAAAAAATGTCCTTTTTCATCATGCATTTCTTAAAAGTAAAATTACTATTTTCTAAACTTTGTTCACTTTACCCAAAAAACTACAAATTTTTAGATGTATCACTTGTCTAGAACCCCGGCGAGAACGAGTACACCGACAGAATTTCAAGTAAAATGTACTCGTAATCTAATTTTGTAAGAATATACGAATATACTTTTTATAAGAATATAATATATTTTTATAATATATTTTGAAAGAAGCAATTTTACGTTCAACGTTTAAAAAAAAGTTCAAAATTTCATGTTCTTTCTCCCAACGAAGCTCATCTCGTCTCCACGAATTGGCAGGCCATCCCTGCGTGGAGTACTGCGATGAGACAAAGCGATGCGTCAGCGGCCAGTGAACGTGCATCACGCGCGCGAGCAGTGCGCAGCGGCGAGCCGCTTCCTGGCCGATTGCGCAGGCGGTCGTGCGCCAACAAAACGAGAAATCATCTGCAGAACGCACGCAGCCTGGCATTTGCACGATATTGAGTACTATGTTACAGCAGACACGATAATACACACGCCAGATATTAGTTGCTTTCGCGTTCTCGAACAACAATTGAAGCAAACAGATAAGAGAAACCTTTTTGGACCATATCATTTGAATAGTAACAACCTTCCCGGCGCTTAAAAATTAATTTGAACAACCCATAGTTCAAAAGTAGTTTTACATGACTTTATTTATAAGATCTAATTTTGAAAAATAAATGTCTTTAAAAAAATCTCTGTTTTCAATATTGTTGTAGGAAGACGTCGGAAATTTTTTAAATTTGCAATTCTCGAAAATTAACAGACTACAATTAAAATTGTAGCTGCGCCAGTTTTTTTAGCGCACTTTGCCCTACACCAGAAAAAAATAAAGAAAAAACTTGGGACTGTTTATGAGAAAACGATGTTATTAAAATAGCCATATTTGTACGCAAAATTACGCAAAAACTATTCAAATTTTGAAGAATTGTACATATTTCAAAATCTAATTACGAAGAACAGAATTCATGAAGTTAGCGGATGACAGTGTTGTGCAGAACAAACGAAGATGTAGATCTGCGTAGAGAATCTTTACAAAAATCATTAGATACATTTATAAATTGGTCTCCAAAATCGCAAATAAAAATAAACCCTACTAAATCATAACACAAGATATTTACCATTTGAAGTCCTAAAATGCCCAATCCACTTATATTTAAAAAATTAAATTTAAAAATGGATTAAAAAAGTGCACCCAGTGAGATATTTAGTAGAAGTTCTGGATCAAAAACGAACATGCAAATATTACATTGAATAAATAG